TTATTACTGCACAGGTTACTTTATGGGCACAATGACACAGACTGGGACAGAGAATCACTGCAGCTAGCTATTAAGAGAATAAAAATAAACAGGAGTGTTGTATGCGCCTGGGACCCAAGCTGCAAAAGACTAGCTCATTAACTTTAAATATATCACCTAGCTGCACTCTGGAGGTCAAACTCGAAGGAAAAAAAGGGAGAATACTTATCAGTCTCCATGCAGCAGATCCCCATCTCTGTTTAAATGTGTGCCTCATTTCAATGCCATTACAAGAAACTTTTAAGGAGGAGGAAGAACCCCATTGTCCTGAGACTGGCCACAGAAAAGCCTTATTTATGAAGCAGTCAGGCCAGATTAAACAGGCTCCCAGTTTAAGGCACAAGGCTCTGAAACCCAGGTGTAAGTCTCTGTTGTGCCCTTGTATATAGGTGATGCAATCCATGCGTGTTTTTCCCCCTCTTTCTTTCCCTCTCTTGATCTGTCTTTCTCCAGCCCAATGAATATTTAATTTGCGCTCCAAGGGAGCCACTCCAATGGGAGATGTTTGGACAGACAGAGGTCGACTGAGGGCTGGGGATCGGGGCTCTCTCAAGGGGATGGAGGATGAGATGTGTTCATGCCACTGCTCCTCTGAGCATTTAATTATTCCTTCAAAGCAGAAGAGCTCTGGCAGGAGCCAGGCAAGAGCCCACGCACAGGCTGCTGCTACCTGGGACGTGGGGATTTGCCTTCCCACCTCTGCTTAATCCCTCTCTCCTCTTCCAGGTCTGGTATGATTTGGGGGTGGTCTGCTGCACTCTTCCTGCCTGGCACATCCAACATGGGCAAGCCACTGCTGATGGTAAACCCTGCTGGATTGGGACAGTTGTGTTCTTCCTTATGAGGATGCTGATCCTTCCCTGTGAGGGTGCTGAGGTCCTGGCACAGGGTGCCCAGAGAAGCTGTGGCTGCCCCATCCCTGGCAGTGTTCAAGGCCAGGTTGGACAGGGCTTGGAGCAAGCTGCTCTAGTGGAAGGTGTCCCTGCCCGTGGCAGGGGGCTGGGACTGCATAAGCTTCAAGGTCCCTCCCAACTCAACCCATTCTATGATTCTATGATCCTATGATTCCATGATTCAGCACCCTCTTTCTGTGATAGAGCAATTAGTCAGGCTCACACAATTGCTCCTGTGGCCATTGACAGTGCATCTATTTGCTATTCCTTTTTATTATCACATATGCCTGCTTTTTGTCATAACTGAGACAGTGTCTTGCAGGGAGCAAACCTTTGTGGGTATCAGAAGCACTTAGTACCCAGAGGATGCTAATGGACTAGTAATGATAAGCAGACCTGATTTGTCTCTGATGATGTGGCCAGCAATGTTCTGAGTCATAGTTTTAGTCATTCAAGGTTCAGCCACATGATTGCTAACCCCCTTCTGACTCTTTGACATTAATGCTGGGATTAAGATTAAGAGGAAACATTATGGTAGAGAAAAATGTTAGGGCATAACTGTTAGTAAATAAATAGATGTTCTAGTTGGTTAAGGGAGTTAAGAGGTTTAGGGGTTAGTGATACAGCTCAGCTCCACTGTTTTGCTAAGGTCACCCACACAAGCAGTAACTGTCCCTTGGCTAATGAGTTGTTACTCAGGGATGGGGTGGCATCTGGACTACATCCTGCCCAGAACCCCTCTGGTCCTTGCCCACCATGTCCCCTAACAGTCTTCTCCTGCCCCAGCTCTCCCGCATTACCATCCCTTGAGGTTTCCCTGCCTTCTGAGTTTGTAAATAAGTTACTGAATGTGTGAGTACCTTCATCAGTGACTACAGCATGGCTCTGGTTTATAAACCATGCTTGTATTTGTAGCTAATGGGAGCAGGGAGAAGAAAATAGCTGCAACTATCATTGGAGGGAGCACAGTCCCCACATCCTGGCCATAGTATTTCTCCTGCTTGTGCCCCATCTGTCCTCGAGGTTGTTTTCCTTTAGTGTGATGAGTTTATGCTGAAGTAGTTGCAGACAGATGGTGGGGAAGGATGTGAACACCACACACATAAATTGGCCAGAGGGGACAGTGAGAGACTGGGGCTTTGTGATCGCTGCTGACAGCTGTGTTGTTCAGGGCTTGCTGGACGGCTCACGGAAAGGAGCAAGGGAAGGTGAGAGCAGTGTAGACAGCACTCATGCTCCAGCCTGGCCTTTACTCTCCCTTTTTCCCACCCCTTAACCCAACTAAAAGTTCATTTCTGAATAAGTTGCACATCACTCGCTCTGGATATCAACTACATTGAGGCAAGGAGCACATCTGGAGGCACAGCAAAGCCGAACGTGGGGTTCTGCGCGGTGTTTGATTTGCCTCCAATGCAGATTCTCAAGCAGATGCTTGATGTGTGCATCACACATCAGCTTGTAGCACACTGTGTGTGTGACTATGGCAAGGAGGAGGAGGAAGGCATCTTTTGACTGTGCCCCACACAAATTTCAAGCTGAGTGGTCTCAGCATCCGGTGGGTAGCCTGGATGCTTATAGATCCTGCAGGCAGTGTGGGTATTGGACATTACCTGGTTATGCCATGGCTGTGGAGAGCAACCCCCTGCATTTTCACCTTGCAACCATGCAGAGTTGTGCTGGGTGTGTCTTGGAGCCTACGTGTTGTTTTTAATAATTTTTCTCTCCTGGCTTTTAAATACTGTAAATGGAATTTGCAGCCAAAATTCTGAGTTCTCTTTCTTGGTATTAGGATGCTGCAGTCTCCTGAGATCCTGACGCCAGGAAGCTTTGTTTTCTGCAACTAAAAACAAATGTTAAAGGGATATTTCTACCAGGCAAAATGTTTTGGGGTCTGGTTTCCTTGCTAGTTAACAGTTTTAATTGAAAAAGCAGTCAATAAATGGATAATGCATTTTATAATGGCATCTTTCTTCTGAGGTTGTGGAAAATGCTATAATTAAGCTGATAATTAAACCCTGTGCAGTTAGTTATGATCCTTGGCAAAGGCACAGGGAAGCCATGAGCAAGGGTTTGTCCAAAGTCTTGTTCTGAGTCAGACACAGAGCCCAAGAGTCCTGGCACCTGCTTTCTCCTGAGTCATGTGTAGGACTAAGTCCTGACTCTCCTCTGTGGATGAAATGACATTGCAGAAAATGCGAATTGAATAACTCAGTGTCTTGGGGTCACATATGGATCGACAAAATATATGCAGGGGCAGGTACTAGAATTCTTTAAAATGCAGATTGTTTTCTTGCTAATCTGTCTAATTTCTTTAACCTGATTTGCATGATAGTGTATGGGTTTGTTGCTGCCTTTCCTTTGATGTATTGCAATGTAAATCACCCCAAATCCACTGTCACCTTGCATTACCTTCCCCAACATGATCCAACCTGCTGTGACTGATACAGTCCGACTTGATGCCATAAACTGATGCCTCCCGTGGGGAAGCAGAAGGAACACATTTTCTCATAGCCCGTAAACGTTTTAAAGAATGGCTTTCCAAGTGGTGGATGTCCACCCCTTTCATTGTCTGTATAAAGAAATGAGCTCCATCCTGCAAAAGCTCAACCCACTCCAGCCCCACAGAACTCTTCAGTGTGGGCTGAGTCCTGAAAGTGTGAGCAACTTTAGCAGTTGGATGGGCTCCTCCTGCACGTTACAGGATCAAAGCTATTATGAATCCCTGCTGGGTTTCCTTTCAAAGCCCCCGCCAGGGGCTCACCCCCAGGATATTCACTCTTGTCTTCAAGAAATTACAGGCAGAGCCTAGTAAATAGAGATCAGTATTCTGGCAAGTGTTTTGACTCTGCTTATTTTCACCCTGTGTTTCTGCAAAGATAAGGACATGCAGAGAGTTTAATCAGTGCATACGCTCAGACCAAGCATATGAAATATAATAAGAAGGACAGATAGGAGCAGCATGCGGTGCACGTGGTGAAGCTATCATGCAGGGCGGCTGCAGGTACTGCAGTCAATAGTGACATTTTCATAGTAGTCCTTGCATTGATCTGCTTTAGCCTGATGGCTTTAGGCACTTCTTTTACCCCTAATAATTTAGCAACAGAAACTACATGGAGAGGTGGATGCAGTCAGTTCCAGATGAATTTGAGCAAAAGACAATTTGAAAGTCTTACAGTTGCTGATTCCGCTCCCAGACAATATAGCCACCCATATCAATCGGCCTAATAATATGTAGGACGATACATCTATGGACTGATAGACAAAGGAGAGATACAGACATTGAACTACCCTGCTCAGAGGAGCAGGAATTTTTAAGAGCCTTCAACAGGCATGATTTTCCCTTCTTTTTTTTTTTTTGCCATTTTCAGTAAGCATTGCAGAAGTTCTCTGAGGGGAAAGTAACATTTGACACAAGGCTCAGATATACTTCAAACAGCCACGTGCCTCATTTACAAAATATACAATATACTGCAGGGGCTTGGGGCTGCATAGGCTCAGTTCATTAACAGCAGGAGCAGTCTCCTCTTCCTGCTAATGGTGCTGAAGCTGTGTCTACACTGCCTGCTCTACATGCTGAGTGCACAGGGCTTCTAAGAGACAGATGCTGATGGAAAGCTGAAATGAAATGCCTTCTGGATTAGTCTGGTTCTTCCCTCTGTGTGTGCTCCCTTGCTCTAAAGAGCGGGGTTGGCCCTGTAAAAGCTTTGCAGAGACCTGTCTGTCTGGCAGTTCTGTAGAAAGGAAGAGCCTTGGCCATGCTAATGGCTGCTGTCCTCCTGCCAAGAATGGGTTTTCTGAGAAGTGACTTGCCTACAAGCTCCAGCGCTGAGGAATGATCTGTTGTTCATCATCTCTGTTTGGGTCCTGTCTTCAGGTCTGGATATACCACAAGAGGGGCCATTCATTGGGATATCAATGAATCTGGGTCTGTAGGCGCCATGAAGTTGTTCATGAGGTGCCATAGTGCATGTGTGGGTCCATGATGTGCATCAGATCCAGAGCAGCATGTTGGGCAATGGCACTAAGTGGTACTTCAGTGAAAACATTGATCTTTTTCTTTCATTCCAGGGGATGGCCAGGTTGATTTTGATGAATTTATGACTATTCTGGGACCTAAGCTGGTGTCATCGGAAGGCAGAGATGGCTTTCTGGGAAATACAATAGACAGCATATTCTGGCAGGTAAGTGATTATTTTTAAATGCAATTTCAGCCAACTATCAATAGTTTCCAGAATTGATCTGTTGAGAAGCATGAGATGTTTTGCTGAGCGTGAACGGTTGTGTAAAGGCTACTGGGGTCTATCTCACAATATGCTCTGCAAGACCACTCTGGGTTCCAGTGCAAGTTTTACCCATGATGTTACCCTGAGGTGGTTTGGTCCTGCTGTCTTCAGGCATCAGAGGGGAGGCAGGTCTAGCAGTGGGAGCTGCCTTATGTCTGTTGCACAGTGTGATTTTAAATAGCATTAAACCTTCCTGGAAAAGCAGGGACAGTCCAGGCTCTTATGGTAGGGAATAAAAACCTCCCAGAACACAGTGCTGCATGGTTCTTGCCAATGGATTAGATATGTGGCTTCCTGTGAGATCACTGCTCATTTCACTGATCATCCAACAGCCTCTGCTTGCTAATAAACTTTAGCTGTTACCAAGTTTATGTAAGTCAGAAGAGTGAAACCTGGATGTAAGCGTTTCTGTCTCCTTTTACTACCCTCCACCACTGTCCAGACTGAATTGGGTGGAGTTTTGTAAAAGTCTTTTAAAAACTTGTTCCTGGCCTCCTGACGTGATAGAAATTGAAATCCTGGTCTGGATTCTAGCATTAGGTTGTCAGAGCAAGAGTTTGGCATTGATGAAGCTGCAGTGATTTGTAACATATCTGTGTGGACATGAGAGCTAAACATACACCATGAGGGGCAGGAACGTGGTAGTCATGAATGTTTCATTGCCTTCATTGCACCTTGCAAGCCTCATCCCAGCACGTGAGCAATGGGGAGAAGAGGAAGCACCATCACTGTCCCACTGAGCCATTGGTGCTTTCCAGACCCCCCGGTGGAACTGGCCTTGCTGGAGCTATTTAAGAAGCAGAAATACCCACTGGGAAGATCATATTCACAGGCTGAATTCTCTGATAGAGAAGCAGACAAGTCTGGAGCCCTCCCTAAAATTCAGCTCACAGGTTAACTTGCCACCATTTAGTGACCCTTCAGCCTTTGTAAATGCCTGTGGTGGCTTTGCTCAGAGGAAGCAAGGCAGGGAGGATGTGTGCTCTGGTTTTAGAGCAGCAGGATGCTGGGTCTGAGCTTTCATCATGCTCTTTCATGTGGTGGGGACAATGGCCCTTGTGCCCCTAAGGCTGCAGTGGGATGAGTGAAAAGAGGGCAGAGGCTTCAGGAAAGCAGCCTCATGATGGGAAGAGACAGCCCTGGGGGTTATCTGCAGGCAGCAAAGCTTTGGCTGAACTGAACAAGTGCTCCAGGGCCTCAGGAAAAATGTTTATGGTCTTTTACTTATAAGGGTAAAAATACAACTCTTTACATAGCACTTTCCTGGATTTCAAAGCCCTTGAAGAGAAGATTTAATCTCAGATTTCAGTTCTCCTGGGGTAGGAGAGCTCATGAAGAATACAATAATTTTGCTGCTTATTCCCAAAGAAAAAGCAAGAAAAACCTCACATATGGAAGTGTCATTCAGGAAACAGGTTCCCTCCTTTGCCCATTCCTACCTGGCTTTACTGAAGCCATCTGCAGGGCCATAAGTCACCTTGTCCTTAAGCAAAGCATTTATGCATCTGCATTATCTCCAGTGGGATTATGTCTGCATTGAAACAAAGCCCTTTTTGGAACCGGAGCTTGGCTGTGTTTCCATATCCCTTTGACATGCAATTTTCACATTTGTTGGATGGGAATGGCAGGGCGAGGGGTGAGTCTGGGCTGCTGATAGAGCACTTCACCCCTGCAGCCATCCCCAGGGAATGATTTTAAGGATGGGATAGTGCCACAAGCCTGTGGATGTGACCGGTGCTAGGTTACAAGGACAGTGAGGGTGGGATAAGAAGAGACTCTGGTGTCAGCTGGCTGGGCAATGCTACCATGAAACCTCACCCCAACGCTACAGGCAGCAAAAGGCATCTTGAAGAGGCTCTTATACCAGTGCCAAGGGGAGAGGGAATCCATGTTGGCATCCAGAAAGTTCCCTCTTCCATCCAAACGGCTTCTCTTCAAATGTCACTGTTTTGTCTCTTGGGGTATTTGTGCGGAGGGTCCAGCTTTTACGATACTGTGGCACTTTGTGCAGATTCTGTTCCAAGCGTGCCCTAATAACACTTTAAATAATGCAGTGACAGAGTTAAATAATAAGCAAGAGCAGAAGGAGGGTGGAATTCAAAGGAACAAGTGAGGGCCTGGAGATGCATTTGCAGATGAAGCTGTGAGTTGGTGGGGTACAGGAAGGCAGTTCTAGATGGCAAAAGCTGCAGAAGGAAAGGATCTTACAACAGCAGTGGGGCTGCAGTAGATGGGGAAGGGGTAGAAACAGAAGAATAGAGAAGAAAGAGAGGGATAAAGTATGGAAGAGTCAGGCTTGGAATAATAGAGAAAGGGTACACCAGTCCTATCATACGTGTGGCCTAAAGAGCAGTGGTCAGCCTGAGAAAAGCAGGATTCAGCTGAGACCTGAGCATCGGTAGGGAGTGGAGATGTGGAGGGTCTCTCAGATGTATTTTCCCTCCTTGATTTCCCATGTGGCCTTTAAATTGAGTCATATGTGTGTGTGTTTCTTTCTCAGGTAGCAGCAGCGATCAGTTCTGCTCCAGTTAGAATGGCCCTCTGTGGTCTCTCAGCCGGGTTGGGAAGTATTTAAGAGGAGGGAAAAATCATCCTGCAAATACTATTTTAAGCCAAGTCAATATAGACCATCAATATCAGGAGAGCTGAGGAAACATGGACTCTGTTCCATCTCACAGAGTCTCTTTCCCAAGTGGGATGCAGCACACACCAAGCAGTTTTGTGGAGAACACCCCTGGATGCCTCTTGCTCTATTTCCAAATGGTTTTATCATCCTCCTGCCAAACGCATGCAAGTGGAAGTAACATGTACCTGTGCACAGATATCTTTAAATGTCTTAAATGTTTAAGAGAGTCTTAAGCTGTCTTGAATATTTTTTCTTAAATCACAGCTGCCTGGTAAGCATTAGCCAGTCCTCAGTGTACAGGAGAATTGTCAGGAGTAGTTTAAAGGCTGGCAGCACCCAATGAGACCCCATTGTGTCTGGTTTGGGGCAGACATGCCATGATATGCTTTCAGCAATGATTCAAGCATCCCCTTTGACTGCTTCCAAAGGGTCTGCGTTTATTATATAGGTGAGATTTTGGGAGTATCTATTGAACCCTCTTTTGGAAACCAGTGGGAAGAGGCCTGTGCAGGGGTGCTGGACCTACCAGATCCCTCACAGGGTTTCTTCCCACTTCCATCTCCATCATTTTCCCTCTGTACTTCTTAAAGAGTGGCCACCCATCACTCTCTTCCTCTTCCTGCCTTCTCCGAGTTGCTCCTGCTTGTGCTCACACTTACTGTTCTCAAGCTGGTCTTCTCCAGTGTGTCCATCAATGGTTTTGCAATGATGCAGTAGCTGTTTCATGGTCATGGAGATGCCACTTGATCAATTTTAAGGCATGAGAATTTGTTTTTCCAGACCTCAGGGAACAGGAGTCTGATTCCAGTTAAGCGATGAGAGCTGTGCTTTGTATAAGTGAGTTTTGATGCATTTCCAACACATGGCATTCAGGACTGGAGAGCAATTTAGATCAAGAGCATTACAGAAAAGACAAACATTGCTACTGGTAAATATTAGCTCCTTTTTTTGGCGAACAGGCTTCAAATCTGTCCACTGTGTCCTGCTATTCTGAGCCAGTGAGAGGGATGAAAAGAGAGGAGAAACTGGGATTTCATATTCATTTACAGTTTTTGCCCAGATTGTTTCTAACTGCAGAGACCTTCAGGCACAAGTGTTAAATTGTTGGCAGAGGATGTGTTGTAGAGGATCTCCAGACCCTGGGGGTAAGCAACAGAAGAAATAATAATCTTGGCTTATAGGCTTTTAATTAAAATAAACCACTCTGTCTTGGCTAAAATGCTTTCTGAAGTCAGAACAAGTTTGAATGGTGAAACAACAGCATCTGCATCGGCTGCAGGATAAATTCTGTGCCTAGCAACACTGATGAGATTATTTGGAAAAGTCAATACTTTGCGTGATGATCATTTGAGAAGCAAAACGTTGCCTGTTTTTATTGGTTTTCCTTTTCTTTTTGCTGTCTGCACACGGAAGCTGCACAGAACACCATTTCAGCCTATGTGTTGCTTGTGCAAGGGTATCTGGAAGCTTTGTCCTGCACAAGGGGGTGGCATTGAGTCATCAACTCGGACATGGTGCCCATTCATCACATCAGGTATCATCTGGTGTAATTCATTGGTGTTCAGCAGCAGGCTGGTTGGTTTGGGATAAATAAGGCTGCTTTGCAGGTGTGGGAAGACTAGAATACCAATGCAGTGCTTCGGGCTGGGGAGATGCTGCTCATGGAGCTCATTTTTCACTATAGAGATGTCTCTGCGTTTTTTTGGGGGGGAAAGACATAGGACTGGGGAGGCAGGTCCTGCAAACAAAGCAGGTCAGCAGCTGCTCATGTGTTCTGTGCTTCGAAAAGCCTTTTCCCCTCTCCAGTTTCCCATATACCTTTAGCTAAGGGAAGGAGTACACTGGTTTTATGATCTTTGGTGGATGAGTGGGTATAGCTAAAGCTAGATCCTGTCACACCCCTGTGCAAGGAAGGAGGGATAGCCAAGGAGAGGCCAGAGACAGCAGAATCCCCAGTGCTCCTCATCCAGCAGGCTCAGCAGCATGCACCAAACAGTGTTTTGCTCCCTGGATGCAGGAAAATGGAGCAAGGACCACATCCACGTGCATGGTATTGCATCTGGCACTGTCTGGGAAGGGGGCTTAGGGAGGTGAAGGCGGCTCAGAGCGGGGTGTGAGCACAGGAGAGCAGAGGGACATGGCTGGGATGGAACACAGGGTTTCATGTTCCCAGCATGGCTGCTGATGCTACAATGATTTGCTGTGCAAAACTGCCCATCCGTAATCAGTTGCCACTACAAATGCAACAGCGTCCCGGGGGAGAGATCTGGGC